TAACCCCCCCCCCTGCCTACGCCACTGCTACTACTTCATCGGGATGACGTTGTCGACCTTGTCAAAATTTCCCCACCACTACGCTCATAAGTAAATTTAAATAGAGGTGCCGCATCAGTTGTATTTGTTTCTGTATTGTAATTTTAAAAAAATTAATCACACGATTCAAACTTTATATATAAAGTAATTATGTGTGAATGTTTTATGTATTTTTCTAATTCAATTATTCGTAAACAAATACATTATACAGTTGCCTTAAACTTAACACCCCTCTTGCCAAGTGGTACTACCGTAGAGGTTTTTTAAACATTGCAATGCATCATAATGGTTATTTTTAGAATGGCAAACTGATGCAGCTGTTAATACGTGTTGTAAACGTAGACACTACTAGACTAGTACAATAATGCTTAATTGCTGCATGAAAAGAAATCTTGTGATTTACATAGATGTGCCGACCAAAAATAATTTGTTTAACAAATATCATTGTTTAAAACTTTGAGTTTAAAAAGTTTCCAAAAAGGCGCCACTTTGCTGAAAATGGCCAGAGGGGGAGCGGCCGCTCCCCCTGCTCCCCCCTGCGTACGCTACTGGTACATCTTTAAAGTATCAAGAATTCGATTTTGAGTTCGTTTACAAATGTATTAATAAAATTAATATACGAATACAAATTCTAATTTCTAATAGACTCTACTCTATATCTTACTTCGTACAATTGTATACTTTATCCTCTTATGTTTTAAGCCATGTTTACATTGCGCATACCTTTAGTTGTAGTGCTAAACGACGCGGGAACGAAAGATTCATAAAAAGTGTCAAAAACTATATTTCATCAAATCATAAAAAAGTATCTATCCATCTATATAGGCCTACTACTAAGTGAGAATTATATATATATATATATATATATATATATATATATATATATATATATATATATATATATATATATATATATATATATATATATATTTGTTTCTTTTGTTTGTCTGTTCCGTTACATGTGAGCATCTGTACTATGTGTAGAACTGTAAAATATGCATTTATATCAAACACAAATTTATGTAAAGACGTAAATTAATTTATTGATATATAATTTGCAGATACGCCCTTTAATTATAAAAGTTCAGAACAAACACTTTAGTTTTTACAAAAAGTAAAAAAAAAACTTGACGTCACTTGATTTTATTTACTTATTTTCACAGCAAACATGATAGCTTCCATTTTGCCCATTCAAAATTTTCACGCATTTTAAAGATAAATGTTCAGTTTGAAATCACAACACACGTGATTCGTTCTAATTTATTACAAGCTTTTATTTAACTCACTTCCTCTGTCTGTCGCCAGTCGTCAGTCGCCAGTCGTAAGTCGTCAGTCTAGATCGAAACGCTGGAGTGAAAATTCGGACAGTTCTACTTGACCGATACGATTCACATTTGGCACGTGGGTCAAGACATGAAGACAATGCAATCTGAAACTAAATTTGACTTAATTGGATGCCTAATTAATTTTTTATGAATTAATAAAAATTTGGACCGAATTAGTAGGCATGTCTAGCCAACCACACCACACGTGTCATCACCTTCAATAGCTGCGCCATCACGTTCAATGGCTGCGTTCAAAAACCATTGCGCGCCTACTGAACGTGATGTTCAGTAGGCGCGCAATGGTTTTTAGTCATGTAACTCTATTGTAAATAAAACATGTAAAGTACTGAAAAAAAATTCATAAAATACGTTTTAATAACAAGCTTTTATGTAATAATGCACTAAAAAGTAGAAATTAAATTATAGACTAATATTTAAATAACTATAAAAAAAGCGTGGGTGTCTTCCTTAACATTAGTAAAGGTATCCAATAGATACTAAAGTGACCCACGCTTTTCTTTATAGTTATTTAAATAATAGTCTATAATTTATTTTCTACTTTTTAGTGCATTATTACATAAAAGCATGTTATTAAAACGTTTTTTATGAATTTTTTTTAATATGATTTAGTTTGACATTAGTTTTAATAGTCTATTCATTGTGAGATTCCAGTTTAGAAATAATAGAATAGAAATAAATCTATTTTTGAAAAACACAAAATTGTAAGCTGAGGTATGATTTCTTTATAACTAAAAATAAAAGAGTGGATCACTTCTAAAATTTTATTTAAGGTATTCCAATACAAAATCTAGCAACCCACGCTTTTCTTTTTATTTATTTAAATAGTTCACTATTATATACTTAAAGCAAATCATTTATTTTCTTTTTTAAGTTCATTATTACATAAAAACTTGTTATTAAAAGTTTTTTATGCAAATAATGCATTTTTTTCAGTATATTAAAAATATTTATACAATAGAGTTGCATGACCAAGAACAATAGCGCACACACAAAATGTGCGTAAAAAATAGTTCTTTATTTAGGAAATTTGTATTAATTCTATAAAAATTACTTAAGCATCCAAATAAGACAAATTTGATGTCCGATTTTATTTTCATCGGTTCTTGACCCTCGTGTCGAGTTTTAGAGTAATTGGTCGCTGAGAAGTGTCGAAAAATTGCTCGCTAGTTTTGATCCATGACAAAAGCACGACAGACAAAAGCTGAAATAGCAATATTAACAGAGAGTGATATTTCAACGCGTCACCTGCTCAAGCCAAGAGAGTGGTCTGCCACAAAAGCCTTATTTTTGTAGGGCCTAGTGGTAGAAGCGGTAACACGTCTGACTTGATGCATGGAAGGCGATGGCGATAGGTGCCGTGTGGAATGGTAGGTTCGAAACCCGTTGGTGTCTGACTGCTTGTCTTTACTTGGACTATTTTCTGTACCTTTGTCTACCCTTGGCGTTGAAATATCACTCTCTGTTAATATTGCTATTTCAGTTACAACGCCTGCTTCCACCCCCCCCCCCTACACGTTTACACCCATTTAAAAAGGAAGCTACTATTTGTCTGTGCCATCGTCTCGGTATTTGTGTGTGTGTCGTTTGTATGGTCGAATAATGGTCCTTGTTGTGTTTATGAAAAGCTAGCGGTCTGACCTTTCGGGTCAAGGGTCAAAGCCGTCCCGCGTCTACCTGCTCAAGCCAAGAGAGTGGTCTGCCACAAAAGCCTTATTTTTGTAGGGCCTAGTGGTAGAAGCGGTAACACGTCTGACTTGATGCATGGAAGGCGATGGCGATAGGTGCCGTGTGGAATGGTAGGTTCGAAACCCGTTGGTGTCTGACTGCTTGTCTTTACTTGGACTATTTTCTGTACCTTTGTCTACCCTTGGCGTTGACATATCACTCTCTGTTAATATTGCTATTTCAGTTACAACGCCTGCTTCCACCCCCCCCCCCCCCCTACACGCAGACAAAAGCTTAACAAAGGAAGCAAGTTAAATGAAAGCTGCTAAAATCCAAATATGTTATTTTAATTATAATTTTAATTCGATTTTGCATAAAAAATCTAAATGAAGTTTCTATTGTCTAAAATACGACAGTGTACGCAACTATGTTTATCCGCACACATGTAATTTACTCCATTTGTAGGGTTTTAATTCACTAAATACGTTCCATATTACATGAGCTAATGGAAAATAAAATAACTTCCACTAGCCCATAATCCTATAATAAAAGATGCATCAAACACTGAAAGTACTTGATAGAGTTTCAAACAAAGCAGTAACTAAGACAAAACGTGGGTAGGCTTAGATTTGAAATTTGATTTCTTAATTTGAAGCAACACAAATTAAACTCACTAATGTGATGGCATGATATTTATTTCTAATTGTCTTTCACATTTAATTACAATTACCAGCAGGTACATACTCATCTGTTACTTTTATGTACAACAATAATTACAGAAATAAAAAGTCTTTACAAAGAATACTAATCGAAATCGGAGATTCTAAATGTTTATAACTAACTAAACTGGTCAATGGCAAAACGCAATTGATTTTTTAATTTGACATTAATTAGCATACCTTAACAGGAACGGCTTACGATAATTAGCTTTAGCTAATTATTTTCATGACGTGGTACGTTTTTAATTGTAATTACTGATCATAATTTCATTACCAAAATAGAATAAAATAAGTCTTATTTCTAATTACGCTTGAAAATTAAACTAATTTCTATTCACCTAATTATCGCGCAATTTTAAGGTAGTCACAAAGTACAGCCTGTTATAAAGAGACAAAGGGAAGCCTACGTGTAGCAATAACACGACAAAACCCATAATGAGTGACAAACAAATTGGCCAATTACAATATATGGATTGTTCTTATTGATGTAGCCTTATTCTCACTGAACTCAACTCACATATTTTAGGGCGTGTGGTTGGCTATAATATTCCTTTAGTGAGTTTTTGCCGGTTACATCATTCTTTTAGTGAGTTTTGGCCAATTAAAGAATTCCTTTAGTATGAGTTGTCGTCTAAATTCGCACATAGGACATATGGTCGCTTGCAATATAAACGCATCAAGTTTGACTATGTCTTAGTCATACAATGCGGTATCAAAGTGCCAAGTAAAACTCTACGGTTTTTAAATTCTGTCTACTTTACATGTTTGTAAATTTAAGGGTGGTACAAATGCAGTTGCATTACTAGAACGAATTATGTTTGATAAATAATCTAAAACAGAGTATTTCAATTCTCTATAAAAATAAGTTCTCAGAGTAAAAATCGTTTTATTTGAGAGTGTATTCGTCATTTTAATTTTGTTGCTGCATTTTTAGAATATTAGGGCAATCAATAAATGCAGATTATTAAATACACTGAAAAGAACAATAATTAAATATAAATGCATATATGTTAACATTTTAAACTTTTAATTAAATATTTTTAATAACCATTTTATCAGATGTCATTGAATATGAATTTTTCGACCTTTTACCATTCTAAAGTTTGATACAAGTAATAATTAAATCAGGTTAGTTAAAGAAAACAAAGGAACATTATAATCCCAACAAAAATTTATCAAGGCTCGCTATATTCTTTGTGCTTTTTTAAAAATAAATAAAACCAAAAAGAGAATGAATATTTCAGAGTTCGTTACGAAAAAAACGATAATTTCAGTTATTTCCGGCAGCGAGACGAAAACCGTCAAGGCGGCCGGTGAGTTTATCCCGGTGGAAATCTTCGTCAGCAACGAACAACGTCGGGTGGCCGAGATTGTCATCGACTTCACGGTCAACTTCGTGCTGGCCTACTTGGGCCTGGCCACCAACACAATCGTCGTCATGGTATTCGCCCGGCAGGGGTTCAAGGACAGCGTGGCCGTCTCCATGACGGTCATCGCGTTCTGGGACTTCCTCAAGTGCCTCGGCGCCGCGGCTCAGCGATTATCCGGCCCAATTAGTCTGGCGTCGCCCGTGATCGCCCAAAGCTGGACCAACATCTCGGTTGTGGTTTTCAACTACATCATCTCCTTCTCGACTTACGTTTCCAGCGTGCTGGCTGGGTACGTCGCCGTAGAGCGCTGCCTCTGTGTGAGCATCCCTTTCAAAGTCAAATGGTTGATCACCCCAAAGGTGACGCTGTGCCTGTGTGTCACCATTTCCGTTGTTGTCTTCGGCTGTTTCATGGTGATCTTCTTCGTGTACGACATCCTGTGGGTGTACAGCGAGAAGTACAACGCCACCCTGGCTGTGTATGTGTACAACGATTTCTTCTACAGCAACGCAGGCCCGCTGTTCCAGTACTACAATCTCTCTGGGATCTGCTGGCCGACGTCCAGCCTAGTGGTCATTGTTGTGTCCACCGTCATCATCGCATACCACTTGAAGAAATCAACCCACTTCCGGTCGATGACAGCTGGGCATGCGCACACGGCTCAAACACATCAAGGTATGAAAATTATAAAAAAATGGTTCGATATTCATACTAATAAACATGTTGGAGGATTGACATGTTTTTTTTTGTTTTTTAATTTGAACCACAAAGCTTAGCATCGTTATTTAACTACGCATTATGTAAACTTGCTCATTTTTATTATTTGATAAACATAGCAGCAGTAAAAGACTTTCTTTAAAATCAAAACTAAAACCGACACAATTAGGAGGTTTGTTCCTTTTTAACAATGACAATAATTAAATTTAGATAAAGATAAATACCATTTCCAAAAAGTATTTTTGGCTGTATTGTTATTGCGCATAATAATAAAAACCTTTGTTACGTTTTAAAATTATAAAAACACGATTTTCAAAAATAGTAAAAATTTCGGTTTATAAATATATTTATGACTATATAAACAATGTATATGCCAAGAGTTTTTATCTTCATGTTTCTCATTCCCAGGTAAATCAACCAACGACGAGGCACAAAAACAGCTGTCCACACGAGACCGACAAGTGGTCAAGATGCTACTTGTGGTCATCGGCGCGTACATCGTCAACCTCTCCCCCCGGATCATCCACTACACCGTCAAGTACTTCATCTACGAGTTCTACTTCCTGCGCCTCTACCACAACGTCTTCATGGTCATGACCTACATTCTGCCTGTCTTTGACCTCACTCACGCCGCCATCAATCTATTTATATTCTACCCAATGAGCTCATCGTTCCGCGCCACTTTCTGGGACATTTTTGGATGCACTAAAACGGAAATTCCCAAAAGGCAAGTTTCGAAGTCAATGTCGTAAAATATTGGTATACACAGAACATTGGTTTGACACTTGGCATTATACCTTTTGCAACCAGCAATTTTGAGCACACTCAACATATTTTAACGCGTTGCTAACAGAGTAGGCCTACTACAAGCTGTCAATATGTTGCATAAATTCGAATACATTTTATCACTTGGAGAATTAGCTTATACAAGAGCAATTATCTATTTTGAATTGAGGTTTATTTTTTAATGAAGTATATTTTTACATGTTATTTTGTTGTTTGTCGATTTTGGTTTATACAATGTGTATTCGTTATTTGTTAAATAGAATAATTTTTTTACAAATAATAAAATTAGTTTACCTATTTTGGTACAGCTGTAATATGTTCTTTACGGTGACCGGAAAGATGCGCAACGGAAAGCTGCGTACAAAAAAGTGCGCAAAAGCATGTTTAATAAACATTAACAAAGAGTGACAACATATACACTAGCATAATAAAACAATTCCGCAAAATATGATCAAATTTAAGCAAATCAATGTAATTAGTTTGTATGTGCGCATTCTGTTTGCGCAGTTTTCCGATTGCGCATTTTTCTAGGAACCATCCTTTAACAATCATTGTCCGTATTTACCTCAGGGTAGACGTTTCCTGAGCACAAGTATTATTTATTAGATGGGGTTGATCGTGTTTCCTCTCTCGCTTCTCACATCTTTCAGCAATTAAAGTGTAGCTCATCTGTTTCAGTGACCTCTATATACATACGGATAGGGGGTTCAAATCTATAACGAGTGTTTTTATATATATTCCTCTAAAAGACAGCAAAGATATTGTGAATGTCATTGTACAGTGTTGAGCCTTTGAGCCTTGTTAGACTACTAACCCGGAAGTCTCGTGTTCGAATCCGGATTCAAATCAGTAGAACGCTGTTGTGTTCACCCAGCTCTGATGGGTACCTAACTCAAGTTAGAAAATCAAAGAAGGTTGGGCATAGTGCTGACCACTATATCCCCATTTATGCCGAGGTTTTTGAAACACATGAGACCTACTTCATCTGCTCTATGAGTTTTGGACACGAAAGGAAAAAAAATATTAATCTACTTATTATTATACGTTTATTTGTGGTGATGTTCTGTATTGTGGCACCAGAATTTTAAGATTACTTTAGTATTATTCTTATTCAGATGTAATCCATATTTAGTTGGTTTTGATATGTTTAAAAATAAATTACAATCGTTTGTTAATTGTTAATCATGTGTTGTTTTTTTTTAATCCTAGTTATGTCTAATGTTACTACCGACCAAGCTATTCTATATACGCCTCTAGTTGTATCAGAACGAAACTAAGTGATTACAAGGGCTTTAAGTATGTTTTACAGTAAAGTTTAAGAAAATGATTTAAATTGTAATAATATTTATTCTTTTATCATTTTTCACTCGTCGAAAATTGCAATTTTCAAAAGGGGTCATCTATTTATGACGTAAAGAATGTTTATTTTATTTTGGACCCACCCTCCCCCTTCCCACACAAAAAAATAAATCCACTTATTTCCATTATAAAAGTTCTCAAAAGTCCACAAAAGTCTTTTTTTTTCGGACCCCCCCCCCCCACCCCTCAGTGTTGACGTCATAAATGTCTGACCCCCCAAAGTTAAAATGTGATGTTGTAAGTTCATTTCCTGCACCCAGTCTTCTTCAGCTTGCACAGCTCAAACTTCCAGACCCTGTCCTCGTAGTGGTTGTCATGGTTACTCAACACCGACCGGATCACCTGACCCTCCGGCACCTGGAGGGTCAGCTTCTCGTCGAACTTGTTCAGCTCGGCCGTGACGTGGCAGTCGCCCGGCGCCCCGCGGGGGACGCTACAGCACTGGAACCGGAAGCGGCGGTCCTCGTAGTGGTTGTCGTTGTAGCTGGACACGCCGGTCAGGACGGAGGTGCCGGGACACGTGAAGGCGACGGGGAGGTCGAACTCGTTCACGTAGCCTGAAGGGGATAAAGTAATCAGAGTTTCTTCCAGGTATCTCTTCGGGGGGTGGGGGAGGAGGGGGGGGGGGGGTGGGAAGCTCTGCCCTACCGAAGAAAGTCTACCGCCCCCCCCCCCCCGAATGAAATGAAATTTATATAGAAAATATATACTTTTAACAGTGTTCGCCCCCCCCCCACCCCCGTAGAAAGTCTACCCCCCCCCCCCGAACGAAATGAAATTTATATAGAAAATATATACTTTTAATAGTGTCCGGCCCCACCCCGTAGAAAGTCTACCGCCCCCCCCCCGAACGAAATGAAATTTATATAGAAAATATATACTTTTAACAGTGTCCGCCCCCCCCCCCCATCCCCCGGAGAAAGTCTACCACTCTTCCCCCCCCCCCCCCAAAATCGTTTTAATAATAAGTACATTACCGTAGGCAGAGTCACATTCCGCCGCTTTCAGTGTCTTTTCCATACTTCAATCCCCCCCCCCCCCCTCCAAGAAAAAGGTCTGGAAGAAACACTGAAAGTAATTGTGTACATTCAGTGGAGACTGAGCTCCTGCTCTGCGTGCGTGGTTGTCAGTTATGCAGCATTCATATTTACGAAAAGTAAATAGTATGGTTGATATTAATAGTATGTTCAGTGTTTCTTTCAGACATTTTTCTCAGATGGGAAAGGGCGGGGCACTTCAAACTTTCGGAGAAGATTAGGCTACTTATATTTCCAGGAGGGGTGAGGAGAAGGGCACTGGTTAAAGTATCTATTTTTTATGAAAATTATGTACATATATCTTTATTTTGTGCTGATTGCGGTGAAAGTGCTTCAATGGTGAGTAGGGGGAGGGGTGTAAGAGAATCTGATTACTATTATGTAAATATCATTAAACCGAAAAGTGAAGTTTTGTTATTTTACTTAAGTCTAGTCCAGTTTTGTATTTTAGTTTAGGTTAGGTTAAGTTAATATTTGGTTAGGTTAGGTTAGGTTAGGTTAGGTTAGGTTAGGTTAGGTTAGGTTAGGTTAGGTTAGGTTAGGTTAGTTTAGGTTAGGTTAGGTCAGGTCAGGTCAGGTCAGGTCAGGTCAGGTCTGGTCAGGTCAGGTCAGGTTAGGTTAGGTCAGGTCAGGTCAGGTCAGGTCAGGTCAGGTCAGGTTAGGTTAGGTTAGGTTGGGTTAGGTTAGGTTAGGTTAGGTTAGGTTAGGTCAGGTCAGGTCAGGTCAGGTTAGGTTAGGTTAGGTTAGGTTAGAACAGGTTACGTGAGGTCATGTTAGTTTAGGTTAAATAAGATTAAAATATTTAAGGTTAAGATATCTCAAGTTCGAATAGGCGAAGTTATATTAGTTTAACATGGGATAGTTATGCTTATGTTGAGTTAAGTAAATAATTGCTAACCTAGTTAGCGATCTGGAATGTAGAAAAACATAAAACAAGCAATATTTGTTTAAATATTTTTACGCTAATACTAAAAACACTATATAAACTGTCATATGTGTAATATAATAAACCTTTAAATTAAATTACAATATTACAAGCAGTTTATTTCAAATTTTTACCCTAATACTATTAACACTTTTAAAACTGTTACGTGTAAGCTCATGAACCTTTAAATTAAATTACAATATCACAAGCAGTTAATTTTAAATTTTTACCCTAATACTATTAACACTTTTAAAACTGTTACGTGTAAGCTCATGAACCTTTAAATTAAACTACAATATCACAAGCAGTTAATTTTCAATTTTTACCCTAATACTATTAACACTTTTAAAACTGTTACGTGTAAGCTTATGAACCTTTAAATTAAACTACAATATTTCTTAAAGCACCTAACAACAGTTGGACCTTTCACCACCACACTAACCAACACGTCTGAAACAACTTACCACTGTCCACACACTGCTCAGTCGCCCCGACGTCCCGACAAGCAAACTCCCATCTCCGGTCTTCGTAAAAGTTGTTGTGCTCGCTTGCGATGTAACTGACCGCTTGACCAGCCGGACACTTGAAGTCAAAGGACTTGTCCCAATCGTTAATGAACATGCCGCTGACAGAAGATGCTACAGAGCAGTATACGAGGAATCGTAACCGTGAGGCTAAGTCCATGGTTAGGTCTTGTTGAGATGTGACAAAGAAGGATTTTTTAATTTTAAAAAGTGGCATTCGGTCATTTTATAGGAGGAGTTAATTGAGAACGTAACATGTGTTCATGTTTATTTTGTGTTTTGGCGTTAACACTGAGTTAATTGGAATCGTGTAAAAATAACCCCCGCCACAAATGCAAAAAGCGTGAGGGCAAAAAGTTAGCCCCCCCCCCCCCCCCTTACCCGTCACTTTTTGCTAGCTCAATTTAATGCAAACATGAAACCTTAGCCTATTTCTGACTAGGCATTTGAATATTTAGATGCACATAATAAACAAAGCTCTTTAACTGCCTCGAGGTTTAGGGTTAGGGCTAGGGTTTGGATTGGGTTTGTGTTAAAAACTAAAAGTACAATTTTCATATTCTCTTTTTTTATAATCATTTTTATAATCTTTTTTTGGATGACGGGGTAATTTTAATTTAATTTAATTTATTTTATTTGTGTATTTATTTTGTAATTTGTTTAATACATATTTTTAGCGCAATTTCCATTCTGGAGAATTGCGATTATTAACTCGTCATTTCTGGGAATGGATGGATGTATGGATGGATGGATGTGTGTCCGCAGCTTTAAGTCGTCTTTAAGTCGTATCTCCTCCTCAACGAAGCAATATCGAGGACTAGTTCCAAAAGCAAATATGTTAATCAAGTTCCGAGAATGATTGTGGGCCAATCATTTCCCGGAAAAGCCAAAAAAAACCTCGAAAAAATGCAGTTTTTTTGCCCATATCTCGGCAACCAGACCACTTAGCGACTTGAAACATTTACCAACCGATTCCTGCCATAATTTAAAACAATATTGCCGAAGAAAGATTTCAAAAATATCCTTTCGTTCGGCCACAAAAAATTAATTAAGAATTTTTAAACTGAGCATCGTGAAGGCCTAGGATGATTTAGCGCAAAGCGCTGAGGTTCGAAAGCATTTTACCATAGCGAATGAGCGGAGGTTCGAAAGGATTTTTTCTATTTTGTTTTGAATTATTAAAACTACTTGTGTTGCATTATTTATTTGCTGAATATATGATTTATCTCGATTTAAAATTGTTATGGATAACATAAGGAAATTGCGCTTAAATTGTCACTAGACTTTTTATTAACTTGTTTTTTACAAAGACATATGCCCAATCGTAAATGGTATTGTCGTAAAAATTGGTTTTGTTTACTTTAAAAAATTACTGTTGATATTTAACAAAGTATATTTTTCGTGGACCACGACTATTATGAAACAGATGTTGTGTATGGATTTTAAACTTGTATTTACTTCAATTTCTTATACAATAGTTAATTAACTTTATCGGATTTGTAAAAGCTTTATAAATTAAATGAACTCAGCATTTTCCTGCAACAAGTAATATATATATATATATATATATATATATATATATATATATATATATATATATATATATATATATATATATATATATATATATATATATATATATATAATATATATATATATATATATATATATATATATATATATATATATATATATATATATATATATATATATATATAAACTGATTTTAATATAACACGGCTTCTTGTTTATTAAAAAAAAGTTATATATATATATATATATATATATATATATATATATATATATATATATATATAACTTTTTTTTTAATAAACAAGAAGCCGTGTTATATTTAAATCAGTTTAAATTTGTGAAAATAATAATTACTCTTCCTGGCGTATCGTTACATGTGGTCTCCATGGATGCAGATGAAGTAGAGTTATTAATTTATATACTCGCAACCGTCTTTTAGAGATAGTTTGTCTACACTAATGCACACTTTTGCCGGGTAGTGAAAAAAAGTCTGCGATACTAAGGATTAAAAACGTGGCTTATTCCCATGCTTAAAGCATAAACCTAGCGCAAACATCAAGACCACAGAACTAGAGGATACATGTTCTATCTATTTTGTTCACAACCTATTTATTGGACATTTGAGCTGCATTGAGCTCTATTCGATAAGTAATGAGAAAAAATATATTCTAAATCAAACTAAGTTATCCTAGCATGCTCTAATACACGTTGCTTCATTTATAATGTCCAGCCAAAGTAGAGAATTGTGAATGTTTTACCTTTTTTCTTCTTGTTGTTAGCTGGCGAAGACCTTTGGCCAAAACATCCATTTTATTTGTAACTGTATCAACTTTGTGATGCTACAGATTCTAATATTAATATATTGTATTCGTGCTTGTTATGTTAGTCTGTGACGCAGGGATTATACCGTGTATCAATAATCCCTAAATTAACGCTCAGTAGTTCTTAAATTAATGCGAAATCAAAGCCTGAGTTGATTCTCTATATGAAAGGTACCTTGATTTGTTTTACGAATATATGTGACATGAAGCTAGTTTTTGTGAAGGCCATCACGTAGCTAGCTGTATATCAGTGGTTCTTATCCTGGGTTCGATCAAACCCCAGGGGTTCGGTGAGTGAGTCTCAGGAGTTCAGCGTATGTCAAGACACACAACCGAACTAAATGATTTATAATCGGATTTTGTCAGCGCAGACGATAGAACTATTAAGAAGGGTTCGGTGTATGCGCATATGAAACTGGTAGGGGTTCGATACCCCAAAAGGGGTGCGCGGACCTTTGACCACAGGTGCTTAGACCATAGGTGGTTTGACCATAGGTGGTTTGACCACAGCGGGGCTTTGACCATAGGGGCTTTGACCATAGGGGTTTTGACCACAGCGGGGCTTTGACCATAGGTTGTTTGACCACAGGTGTTTTTTTCCATATAGGGTCTTTGATCAAAGGTGGTTTGTCTACATAGGTTCTTTGACCACAGGTGGTTCGTCCAATGCTGGCGTTTGATAACAAGCGCTTTGTCCATATATGGTAAGGATTAATTTGAAAAGTTGTGTAATTATATTTTAAATTGCGGCAGGATGTAATAATATGTTAATTCATCTGTCATTTAGTTAACCATACAAGTATTACTTCTTTGCCTATACTGTTGGCATATTTTTATTCTTCATATATGCTATGTATTTTCATGTAAATCTGCATTATTTTTTTGTGAAACTTTATGTATGGCTTATTATTTGTGTTCCATTTATATTTAAAATAAATCTATGAGGCCTAGTACCAGCCTTTATGTGGAGACTAAAATATTGTTCTTGACTTTTTTTTCAGTCCATGTTTATTTCTATTATTTAGCTCTCGGGAAACATGTATGAAATCGTATTGATTGTATCATAAATTAAAATCAAATAACAGTTTATAATTTGTATTTTAAAATCTATTTACTATGGTTAACACCCCTCTGCGGTCAAACCCCTATGGTCAAAGCTCCGCTGTGGTCAAACCCCCTATGGTCAAACCCCCTATGGTCAAAGCACCTGTGGTCAAAGCACCTAGGACCCCAAAAGGATTAAGAGCCACTTCTGTAATAAAAATTAACTAACTCCTTAAAGACAGTATTATATAAGTACTAATTTAATTAAGTAATTAAATAGACTTAACCATTTTTAATGTCACGTGTAGGAATAAATATTGCGCACGAGAGTGAAAAATCAATTATAATTTATTTTTGCTAATATATTCTATTTCACAATTACTGTAACCGATTATAATGTAAAGCTACTTTATTTACTTTTTAAATAGTGTCCATATTGATATAAGAAAGTGTGAGCAAATATTCCCGCTGTTGTGAGTTTTTTTTTAATTTATTAATTTTTATTTTTTATTTCTGCGATACAGTTATTTCACTTTTAATAAAGCGAATCAGGATGGGGTGAAACAAAAGCGATTTGAACCATCAAACAGCTTGACGTGTGGATGCGTGGTCGGGTGGTAGTGTCATTTTAGTAGAAACATCTCTCAATGTGACGCTCTTTATTACATCCAAAAACAGACGTTAATTTTATATGTCACGATTTGGAAGTGGGATAATTTAAAAATCTACCATCTCTTGCTAGTAAAGATCTATTTCGTACATGACAAGCCGGGCAGATGAAGCACAATTCGGTCGTTTCTTAAATAAATGGATGTTTTGGTCAACACTATACCTAGCCGTCTTGACTTCACTTTTCCTAACGTGAGTCAGGTACCCATCCCAACTAAGTGGACCGACCTATACACTCTAGTTCGGATCTCGGGCTTGAGTCCGAACTCTGCACATTTGGGTTAGCAGTATAGCGCTCTAACCCCCGACCACATGCTTCAAATGTTAAAACCCCCACCTCCCATAAATAGGCCTACCTGAAAATCGATACTATTGACTTATCAAATAGCACGCTTCCAACCTTCCCCCCCCCAACCCACACATTCTTATTCTATACATGAAAGGTGCAGCAGAGTTACGCAAAAAATCTTACTCTCCAGCCTATAGCTGTGTTACATAAACTGCCTGATCAAGCTTCATCCGTGCTACGAAACGTAAACCAACCTAAACGTGGCATACATAACCATACTTACTACTTCCAAATAAAGTTTCTACACCTAATCCATGACCATACTTACTACTTCCAAATAAACTTAAAATCAATACACCTTTTTACATGGCCATACATCTTACTTCCAAATAAAGTAAACACATTACACCTACATACATGGTCTACTTATTAATTCCAAATAAAGTAAAAACATTACACTTACAAACATGGCCTACTTATTAATTCCAAAAAAAGTAAAACCCATACACTTGTATACATGGCCATACTTGTTACTCCCAAATAATGTTAAAAACAATACACGTATATACATGGACAAACTTCTTACTTCCAAATAAAGTTTTAAAAAAAACCACTATCTTGTTTAATGCTTTAATTTACCATACAATGGTTATAAACACACAGATCATTCGGCGACCAAATCCTCGTATGTGGGGAACTTGGCAGGCTCGCCGCTCTGGAAGTTGACGTGTCTACCCGCGTCCACAATCACTTGACCAGCGGTCATGAAGCTCGCGGCATCCGATACCATGAAGGCGATGGTCTCGGCGATTTCCTCCGGTTGGCCGTTTCGTCCTAGGATCGTTTTACGCTGGTGGTGAGCTAACAGCTGTTGGTGTTAAAATATGGTTAGATCATGGGCCATCATCTGGTGTTAAAATATGGTTAGATCATGGGCCATCAGATGGTGTTAAAATATGGTTAGATCATGGGCCATTAGATGGTGGTGTTAAAATATGGATAGATAATGGGTCATCAGACGGTGGTGTAAAATATGGATAGATCATGAGCCATCAGATGGTGGTGTTAAAATATGTTTAGATCAGTACCATTAGATGGTGGTGTTAAAATATGGATAGATAATGGGTCATCAGACGGTGGTGTTAAAATATGGTTAGATCATGGGCCATCAGATGGTGGTGTTAAAATATGGTTAGATCAGGGGCCATTAGATGGTGGTGTTAAAATATGGATAGATCATGGGCCATCAGATAGTGGTGTTAAAACATGGTTAGATCGGTGACAGGAAAGATGCGCAATGTACAATAGAGCACATAATCGTGCACGATGGCATCTTAGTGTTCTTAAATTGGGCATTTATAGACATTATATAATGACTTAATGTACACTGTAGCTTAATTAAACATATTTCCACGAAATATGACAAAGTGAAAGTGCATTAGTACATTAGTTTGTATCTGCGCATGCTCCTGTTTGCGCAGTTTCCAGTAGCCCAAAATATGTTGAGATTATGAGCCATGAGATGGCGATACCAATGTACGATTAAATATGGGAGCTACAGATGGTGAAATCACAATAGGGTTAGATTTTTTTAAAAACTCTGAGATTATTGTGTTACTTACATCACCAACTGCGTTTTTACTCTCAGGCGAGTCTGTAAATGTTGTGTAGATAGGTGTGATGATAACACCGGGACTATGGAGAGAAAAGGTATTTATGTATATATATATATATATATATATATATATATATATATATATATATATATATATATATATATATATATATATATATAATGTATAACGTTTTATAACTTTTGTATATTTACTTCTCTCTTTAACCCCCAACCCTCATTCTAAATCACTTCACTAGTCGATACTAAACTTTGTTGAATTTTTAAAGTCGATAATGGGAAATCATTTTAAAAGGTAAATCTACTATATTATCGTATTGGTTTTAACTCATTTAATCAAGCATTTTATATAGCATATTTTTCTGATTAAAAAATGATAGACACTATAATATAAGTTTGCTCTATTCATTCAAATACAAAATATAAAAAAACACATGAAATACTGCTTTTTTAGTTATATGTATCTGATCCCTTGTACGCCAATATATACATACGTTTTTTTTTTTTACTTATGCTCCCTTTTCAAACCTGACGATAGGGCAAGTAAAGTATAGTTCACTTGTTTCTGTGACCTCGGCATATGAAGAGATAGTGTGGTCAGCACTATGCCCAGCCACCTTTACTTTCCCTAACGTGAGTTAGGTACCCATCAAAGTTGGGTGGACTCAGGGACGCTCTACTGACTTGAACCCGGATTCGAGCTCAAGACTAACGGGTTAGCAGTCCAACTCACTACCGCTGGGCCACTCCGTCCCTGACAATATACGACAATATTTTACGACAATATAAATATGTTTTTTACTTACTTGATCGTATTCACTCGAACACCAGCCTTCCCAAACTCTGTTAGAAAAATAAATTTTGGTCAAAAAATAATAACAACACTTACACACGTTTGACTTAAGTGTGTGTGTTTTTTTTAACAACAAATTTCATACGCATGCGGTTTCAACGAATTTTGAAAGAAAATGAATCAATAAAAGATTACGATTTCCAGTCATAATTTTTGCTAAACCACAACTAGCAACTACAATATGATTAAAGCCAACCTGATGTGTACCTCTCCCCCAACACACACTACAACTTACAACTAAAACGAATAGCCCCCCCCCCCACCCACCCCATTCCTCCCAACAACTAAAAAGCATAAAGCAACCCTAATCCCCCCTCCATCACACTTTGCATCCAACTCCTAAAAAGAATAAAACAACATTTCTTGCCCCTCCCCCCCCTCCCCCAACTACTCTGCACCCAAAAACTTCAAATATTAAACTTCCCACCCCCTCCCCTTTCACTGCACCTAACATCTTCAGAGAATAAAGCTACCTTGATTCTCCCCCCCCCCCCCCCTCCCCTTATCCCCCTTATCCCCCATATTACACCCAACCAACTCAACAGGCTACACTGACTACCTACCTACAGCGGCACAGTTGGTGAAGTAGTCCAGTGCGGCCTTAGCGGCTCCGTAGGCAAAAAGTCCAGGATACTAGAATACAGGGAAAAGTGTGGCAAAAATCACACATGGAATCAAAGTAAAGTAAAGCTCCGTTTTCTAACCTGGTGATCTATGGGACAAGTGAAATAGAGTTATCTTGTTTTTTGTACCTCGGCTTATGAAGCAGTGTTTCTTCCAGACTTTTTTCCGGGGGAGGGGGGGGGGGCGGACAATATTTTCCGGGGGGGGGGGCGGAATTGGTAAAAGTATATGTTTTCTATATAAATTCCATTTCGTTCGGGGGGGGGGGGGGAGGTGTAGACTCCCCCCCCCCCCCCCCCGAAGAGATGCCTGGAAGAAACTCTGTTATGAAGTGATAGTGTGGTTGGTCTGCAAAATGCCTAGCCGCCATGACTTTCTTCAACGTGAGTTAGGGACCCACCAGAGACGAGTGGACTCATGGAGGATCAACTAACTTGAGCCAGGAATCGAAACTTTCAAGTTAGCAGTTAGCACTCTACCTCTAGGCCACGCTATCCCACAATTGTATCATAGACGTTCAAGTTTTTTTTAATGTATCTTTAAACCAATTGAATACTTTAATCAATAGATCGCAAGTATGTTAATTTAAATAGTCTTTTTTTTAAATACGTATAAGACATTTTACATGTCTCTTGATTTAGACTAAGCTAGGTTTTGTTGAGGTTAAGGCTGAGCTTATGTATACTATTTGGTTCGAGCAGAGCCTTTTTACACATTGTATGTCTGTGATCAGAACTTTACCTCATAAGATGCTAGTCATGCTTCCCCCAGCCTCCACTAACCTGTATAGATTCAGAAACAGGTATTAAGCGCCCCCTTCCCTGGTCACAAGGGCCACACCTCCCATTGTAACGCCAATGTAGATGAACACTAGATGAATGTTACACAAAATAATGTTGTTAAAAATTGACTCACCGGCTCGCTGGTGAGACCGGATGACACGTTCACAATATTGCCTAGAACAAAAGTGACAATAATTCATTTTCTTAGAACAAAAGTGACAATAATTCATTTTCTTAGAACAAAAGTGACAATAATTCATTTTCTTAGAACAAAAGTGACAATAATTCATTGTCTTTAAAACAAAAGTGACAATAATTCATTTTCTAAAAATAAAAGTGACAATAATTCATTTTCTTAGAACAAAAGTGACAATAATTCATTGTCATTAAAACCAAAGTGACAATAATTCATTTTCTGAGAACAAAAGGACAATGATTAATTTTCTGAGAAGAAAAATGACAATAATTCGTTTTCTTGGAACAAAAGCGACAGTAATTATTAAAACATGTGTATACTGACATTTTTCTATTTCAAGATAAACATGTCTGTACATCGTTCTTAGCGAGTTCTAAAAAGGATTGGCATCGACATAGATTTTTCTCCAAGGGCAAATTATATATTTAAAACCTCTACCCGTGTCATGACAGTATAATTAATTGTACGAATTTGATAAATGTTTTTGTTTTTTATTGTTCTGTACACATGTATTTCATGCTGCAAACATTTTAGGAAACTAATAAAAGGCTTTGTTTTTTTGTTTGTTTGTTTGTTTGTTTGTTTTAAAAAAAAAACTCGTAGTACATTGGTTTTTGTCATTGACACATTGTTACACAAATAAAACAAGAGGTATGTTGAAATACACTGCTTTACAGTTATAAACTTATCGAGTATACAGTTAACAGGTAATTTATTTTATAACGTGAATTACAGCACCAAAAAGCTCTATACGTTAAAATAAACGCCACCAATTAAAATAATCACCGGTTGAGCAAAGCGCATGGTGATGTTAGTACTAATTAAGTATTTGCTAATGAATCTAACTTAGTTGATGAGATACGAAATACCAACATAACATGTCGGATCTAAACGCAAATATACGTGCACTAAATATAAATATACCTTCTAAAACGATCTGGGCATCCTCTTACTTTTCTAAAACAAAACAAAAATAATATTCTGAGTTCTAACTCGCTCCTGTTAAGTCAAAATACTTTTTTTTTTAAAAAGTCTTGACCCAAGTGCCAACTTTTAAACGAATCTGTCAGTTAGAAGTGCCCGAAATTTTGCTAGCCGGTTCGATCTATGAGTAAGAGGAGGTAAGTTAAATAAAAGCTTGTAAAAAAAAACTTAACTGCAGACCTTTGGACTTCAGCAAGTGCGGCAGCGCTGCCTGACTTAAGAGAACCGGAGCCTTGAACAGACCGTTGAGACACTCGTCAAGGTCCTGTTCCTTGAGGTCACGGATGTAACCATGGTTACCGAAGCCGGCGTTGTTCACCAGGATGTCGAGCCTGCCGAAACTCTTGATTGTCTCACTGATCAGCAGGGACCTGACTTTGGCATCGGTGATGTCCCCTTTCACAATTATTGCCTGGGCGGGGGAAATATTTTAAAGCAAAAAGTTGAAAATTTTAACGGTCATAAATGCAATGATAATATAATCATTGAACTCTCCATTGTTTTTATGTAATGTGATGAAAATACATATATCATTTGAACAAATGCATACAACACAAGATAAATTATAATACAAAGCTATAAATTTATAACCCTACAAAAATTAAAACATATAACAAATTTATCAGAGAATTAAGTGTTTTAAAACACAGGCAAGTCTTCTTCTTCGTTCTTAATTCTAGTGTTGGAACTTCCAACTAGGTAAGGATTCCCTCCAATACAAATACGTATTACGAGTCATGCTATGACTCCAATTTCAGACTGCTTTTCTTATTCATTTTCTCTTCCATAGCCCTCTGTCCATCCAAGAATAAACTACAAGGCAGCAGTTGTTTGATTTTTTATATTTTTTTCTTCTAGATAAGTTGCTTTCCCTAGTTATCGAGCTTTCTCAGCCAGGAACATAGGCAAATAAAAGTGAACTATTACATAACAAATATATAAAACCGAACACAAAATATAATACAGTATAATACAGAACAAACAATTATAACATGGAACCAGTTTTTCTTTAAGACATTTTTCTCCGGGGGGGGGGGGGGGGGGGGCACTTGATATTTTCGGGGAGCGGACACTGGTAAAAATATATGCTTTTAAAAAAAGGTTCAATTTCGTTCTGTGGGGTGGGGGGGGGGGGCGATATACTTTCTTGGGGGGGGGGGGGGGGGGGGGGTTGGGTGGCAGGAGTATAAAAAAACAATATAACAACAAATAAAGAAGAATAGACTTAACAAATACTAAACCAACGGACCTATACAAAGGAATCACATCTTACCTGGTCTGGTTTTGATCCCGCCTCACAAATCTTTTGTTTGACGGCTTCCAGTTTCTTGGCGTCTCGGCCATGGAGCGTCACTTTAGCCCCTCGTTTGGCCAGCAGCACGGCCGTGGCCTCGCCCATCCCCGAGCTACTGCCTGTAGTAAGACGTGTTTTGGTGGGATTAGAAAGTTAAGTTCACTTTACAGAGGCGTAGCGACCCTTCCCGGCGCCCGGGGACAAACTTTCGATTTTCACCCCTCTCTCAAACTTTCAATTTGTTTTTCAAACCCATTTTGGCGCCCCCCCTAAGGTCGGCGCCCCGGGACATATGTCCCCCCCCCCCCTTGCTACGCCTCTGTCACTTTACAAACCTGACGGTCCTTGGGGAAAGTGAAGTAGGGTCAGAGTTTCTTCCAGACGTCTCTTCGCATGAAATAGAATTTATATAGAAAAGATATACTTTTACCAGTGTCCGCCCTCCCACCCTCCCTGAAAATGTTGTCCCGTCCCCCTGCCTCGGAAAATATCAAGTGCCCCCCCCCCCCCCCCCCCCTCCGGAGAAAAAAGTCTAGAAGATACACTGAGTAGTGTTCACTTGTTTATTTGACCTCAGCATATAAGGTGATAGTGAGGTTGTTGCTATGCTCAGCCCCTGAAGCGAGTTAGTTTACACAGTACGCACAACATTTGAGATGTGTAGACACAATTTTAATATGGCTTTTATAAAGTATACACAATTTTAATATGTCGTTTGTAAAGTATACACATTTTCAATGTGGCGTTTGTAAAGTAGACTAATTTTTTTAATGTCGCGTTTGTAGATCGTAGAGCCGGGTCGAATTAGGGGCAGATTTTTTTTTTTAACGATTTGAAACTAAGGGGAGGTAATAACAAGTTGTGCTTGATATTTTCATTGTCGTCTGTAAACTGTCGTCACGGACGGCTGCTTTCACGGAGTTCAAAGGAGCTGGGGGGGGGGGGGGGGAAGGTGAGAATAATCGTCCTTCACGAGCTACTGATTGTGTTTTAAAGCAAAATATTTTCAGTCGCAGCATTGGTAGTGTTAAATTCATAAATTATGAATTGCCGAAAAGTAGAAAATAAAACAACTAAATAGCGGCGTATGCTTGAGGCGCGTGTCAGCTATAAAATATGTACTTTTCCCCCCAACTGTATGTTATTAAACCAGATCGGTTTACACTTTGAAGCAGCGAAACATAAATAGCCTAACAGAAACACCTTTTGATTAGCCAATACATTTAAAAAGTCATTTTTTTTAAAACTCGCATCTAGAAACAAAATGTCTTTTTAATATAAAATGTATTGACTGTTTATAGCTGTGTAAAACCCTCTTTGTAATATAAATTTTAAAAAAAAAAACAACTACATTTTCTAAAGCTTTTCCTGTCTCTCTAGTAAGTTAATCTCCAATTAGACAGATCAAAGTGTCTGGATTTGCAGATTTAGATAGTCAACTATAAAGGTTCCTGTATTATAAAATTGTTATACGTTGTGATTTAATGTGTAAACATATATTTGACTGTCTTATTTAAATTTGTTGCAAGCATTATTAGAGTAAGATATTGTTAAAAAATTAATTAACGTTTAAAATTCTATTTTTAAAAAAAATTGTAGTTTTAAAAACATTAACTCATAATAATCGGAAAATCTTTCAAACTATATGTTTAGATGTTAACAGTCTTGACACAACCATTGTTTTATTTAAGGTATAGATTCTATTGACACAAAATTTACGACATCATTTTGTACAATGTCCTGCTATTGTCCTATAACTTACCAGTTACGATTGCAACACGTCCCAAGAGGCTTAGCTTCTCCATCGTACATGTAGCTATGACTGTCTAGTTT